TTACGAAAGCTCTTAATTTTTAAGTGATCTCATATGAGATCACCGAGAGGTATTGGGTTAAATGGCAAGTTAACTGTTTTCTCCCCTCCTATTTGACTTGCACGCCTGCGTAAGGGTGGATTCACAAAAACATGTGAGGTAAGGCTAAGGACCTGCGTAAACACTAAAGTATTTTGGAGGGGGGGGTGAGATAGAAAGAATAGCGGAGTTTCAGTGCAGCAGAAAAAAGTCAAAAGTCGTGCAGACAAAAAAGCAGACAAAAAACGAATCAGAATACATACGTCTGTCTAGGTCCTCTTCAAATGGTCTGCCCACGGGCGATAGGGTATGAGACGTTTCTTTTATGAAGTGTTCCTCAACTTCGCGCGGAGTACGACCCTTTGTCTCCGGCAGGTAACGCCAGAGGAGACCAATAAAAATGGCGAGCAGTACTGTGAATGGTACGAACGAGTAGTCGTTCAGGTAGGTCTAAATAAAAAAAATAATAAAAAAGCCTGATGGCTGGGTAGTTGAAAAGTGTTAATTCTAAAATAGCAATAACCTGAGAGTTGAATCATAGTCAATACATTAAACCGAGTCTTGTGACCGGCTGGTCCACGGTATAGGAATTGTAAATAGTGGATGCGTATGCTTAACGTGGAAATATGATGCCGAAAGATGGTTTCTTGGAGGGTGGAAAATAGCCAACTTGACGAGCGCTGCGTCATGGAATTAAAGACATGAATTGACGAATTAAAGAGAGACTGGAATGGACATTTATAGATTTTTGATTGTCGTCAGCTGGTGAATCCCAACTCCTCAATGCTGGAGCACCTAAGTGTTGACTTCGGTTCCCGCTGACCAGTGAACACTTAAGCTCAACACTCTAACAATTAGAGCTGCTAAGCTGATGAACCCTCGACTGTGATTGGGAAGACATTTCATGCGGAAACGGGGTTCACTGGTTTAAGTTATCGTGGAGTTTTCCTGACACTACACACCGAAGGCATGATAATTATTTTGGATCAGCACTACAGTGAGGCGGTCTTAAATTTGATCGTGTTCCAACAAACATGTAGACTATGGCTAACCGATGAGTACTTATACCGAGGACCGGAGCAAAATGGTAAAAAGGGAAAAATCGCGTGATATGTCAGCTTTAATGAATTTAGGGACGTCATCGGATACTAGACAGCCAAAAAAGTTAACAGGTGGCTTTGAGTAGAAGGAAAACGTACCAGCAGTTGCATGTACCCCAAGCTAACTATGATCTGGCTGATCCAATTGACAAGTACGGTTACGAGGGTGGCCGCATCACGAGTCTCCTGAACGAACATCTCGGCCACGATAAACCAAGGGATCGAACCTAAAGGATGGAAGGCAAGCTTTTGGTAGAAAATTCTTACAAACGTCACCATAGTAATATAAAACTCAAAGACTGTACAATACGGAACCGGTAGTAATAGGGGTTATGTGGGTGGGGAACATCAGGGAGAAGGAAAATTACTTCAAAAAATAGAGCGTACAAAAGTGGTAAACAATAGGCACAACTATTTTTTTAAACTTGTATATGACAATGAAAAAAAGCGCGCGATAATTAAACAAATAAACAGAAATTATCAGCAAATCGAGAGCAATTGAATGAACCGCCGCGATAGGATTAAGAGCAAATCAGGTGCCAGTGGGAAGTACAACCATTAGGAGAGAAGAAGTGATCATATATAACCCACGAACTGGCCATCATTAATTAACTGACATGAAGGTGAACAGTGGGATCCGTGGGCCTATGAGATCAGTTGGTTCCCAAACAAACAAACAAGAAAGTAGCAGCTGAATGTAGGCAAACGTGTTAATAAATAAAGCCAGAAAAGGAAGTAGTCTCTGTTTGAAAGATGAATGAAGAAAAGGTTAATGAAATATACAACGAAATAGGTACTTAGTTATGTATAGTAAACTACGGTGATGTTTATAAGAAACCCATAGAACGTTTTTAGCTATGTGCGGAGCTGCAGGACGTGGAAGTACTATAGTGGCAGCAACCGTAGCCTTTTGTTTTTGCAAGACAAGGTACTGCGAATTTAATGAATACAGTCATAGCTCGAGCAATCGCGAAATGTTAATGGGAACCCAATACATCTGTTTCCGCGATTTTTTCAGGGATCTGTGAAATCTTCGAAAAACTCTTCTAAAGGACTATGTTGACTATGTGAAGTCAATATCCAAGTGCAAAATCGATAATAAAGATTTTTCTCATTTTTGGGGGGAGGGGGGATTAAAGATTTACAAGAAATCACGTAAGAAATTATTTCGAAATAAAATTGTTTTCCATCGAAACGATTCTGTTTAGGTAAATTTCTTTACTGTACCCCTACAAGACGCGATATTCATTCAAAAATGTTGTCTTCTTTCGAATGCTAATACTAGTATAATTGGTAAAAAACATTTTAGTTAATTCTTGATTTTGCAACAGTAAATAAGTGTTAACTTGAATACAGCACAAACATTATTAATTGCTGTTAGTGTTCATAGCAAATTCATATTATATCGGACTTTTAGGACGTAGATACCATGGAACGGAAATGATGGCGTAGATGTATCCTGCCAACTGCTGGACTACTTTCGCCTCAGGAGATATGATCTGCACCATACCCTGATGACTACGGCGACGAATGGTGCAAAATTCTGGGCGAACCACAGCCTTATCGTCTAGAAAATGAGACTATTCTCGCAGACATCCCTAGGATAGGCATAACTAGGTAATACTGAACGCCGATGGGATGTTAGAAATCATATGAATCTCAAGTTGGGACACATTTTTTGTTAATTTAACAAAGGCCTTCGATATTGTGAGCAACGACGGACCAAAGAGAATCATGCTGAAATTGTAGTGTCCCGCACGCTTCATGCAGTTTTTTAGATGGTTGTGTGACGACGGTAAGGTGCACGTAACAGACAATGCGTTATTCTCGGACGCACTTTCGGTAAGGCATGGAAAGAACCAGGACTGTGAACTCGTTTTCATCCTCTTCAGTCTTAGAGTCTCAGCAATGCTCATGGGCGTCTGTCATAAAGGGCGAATTGCAACCAAACAAACTGTCTAACCCAGGGACAACTACCCAACTTTTAGCATATGCGCGTGGAGACGACAATATGCACAGCTTTGAGAACCAGAAATGCAACTTTGGGTATTTCGTCCATGACCGTTGGCAAGCCAGTGGGCAACACACTAAAAGGAAATTCGAGTAGCTAACGGCTCGGCTGCATCTCGATGCGGAAGCTGTTCGCTACTGTGGGCTAGGCTATTTTCTTTAATCAGCAACATCAGACAATCAGTTCAGTTCAGTTTTTATTAGGGAAATATAGGTAAATACCTTTGAACTC